TCGGATAATGGAAACAATTTAGTTTATGTATGAAAATAGTAGCCGGTCATAGCCCATAATAGGCCGCGCTATACTCCTTTAAAGAACATGTGTTTGATAAATCGAATGCGCGTGATAACCCTTCCAAAGAAATTCCTTTGAACAACGCACTCACTAATTAACTCTATTCACAATTTGTGACTCGAAATTCGGCGGCTGATTTACCCACTTATATCAATAATCTAATTTATAAAGACCAGTTTCAATGCTAAAAGCTTATGGATTTAATGGTCTTCTAATAATTTTTAGTAAAAAACATTAGTCTAAAAAATTTAACTTTTTGTATAAATTAAAAACATTTAGATATTGGAATAGTTGTCGAAAATTTGTTTTTTTTGTTTATCTTTAATATACATAAATTGGATAACCTAATAAAATTTGGGAAATTAAACATTACATTAAACTTGTAAAAATTGTATTATTTTTTTTATTATAAACAAGCATTTTTTTAAATTTGTTGTATTTAGGGACGTTTACATACCACCCTATAGGGTGGTCCAGTATACTGCGGAGTTACAAATTCAAATTTGTAACATTATAATCCATACAATCCGCGCAAAAATTTGAATGAATATTTATATTAGTTTAACGTGAGGTCACGTACCCAGATAGCACCAAAAGTCTTGAAGATGTCTTTTGTATGTCTGTATTATGCCTGAACTTCTGAAGATGTAAAAAATACGTCTTTTGATAGACGTCTTAAAGATATCTTCATTTAATGTTCTAAAGACATCTTATAAATGTCTGATACCGCCGTTTATTTTTTTTGGATAAAATAGTGAATTTAGACAAGTCAAAATCGAAATTATATCCCATAATCAGCCACTTCATAGTAAGATATAATTATTATTATCTTATCTTGGTGTAATAGAAATAACATTAATGTAGGAATTTAAGTTTGGCAACGATGATAGGTAGGGTAACTGAATAAATAAATATATATATATATATATATATATATATATATATATATATATATATATATCTGACATTCTTGTAGATTGGTTATTTTTCCTACAATTAATAATATCCATTATAAACAAACATGTTTTTTAAAAATTAAGTATTCAGACAATATAAACTTAAAATAACCCAGCGAAAGTTTTTAAATCAAATTACCCGCACATTTCCCATAATGCAATGAAATTATCAAATCAGCACCATCTTATAAGTCCCGCCATATGATCCTTTTGCTGTTCTTTTCTATTTTACCAAGCGCTGATATGTCTGCCTCTTTTCAATTATTAAATAACTCGTAACTAAATGCAGATTGCAGACATCCGACGCCATTTTTGCTTCTTGTGAGTATGTTGAATTTGGGTGTTTGCTATTACTAATCGTGGCGGTTTTTCTTTTTTATGTTCCCGTTCGACGTTCAACAACTCAAGTGAAAAGTCAAAGTAGTGTGCAGTGTTGGTTTTCGATTTTTTTGTGAATTTGGTGTCGTTTTTGTGGTGTTTTCCGAGAAAATAATTGATAGCCCGAGTCATAAACGTCCGAGCTCGACAGTTTTAAGATATCTTTAAGATGTCTCTGTTCTATCTGAATAGTATGACCTTCCCCTTCCCGTCGTTACAAAAAAACAATCAAACTAAAGTGTATTCAAATCCAGCTTGGAAACAAAAACGCCCAGACGCAGGATAACTAGTTCTTATTGGTCGATTCTGATGGTGTGACCCGGATTGTGAGTTCTTATTGTTTGATTCGGAGGATTGTGTTTACATTTAGTCCAGCTTGGATTTGAATAGTCTTTATATTCTAATATTACATTTAAATAGACCACGTCTGTATGACTATTAGTCATTGAATAAGGCAAGTTTTGTTGACTACATTTCAAATTCAAATATGTCAGAAACTTTTAGAGAACCATAAATAAACCGAAAGGTTTTGGGACTTTTTCAGAAAAAAGCTGGACGTTAATGCCGCCTGTAAAATCGAACCAAAGGAAAGCAGTTTAAAAATGTCATAATATATTATGAATATATTCAACACCCAATACGTATATGTAATTTTATGGCCCTGCTTAGAGTGGGAGAAATATTGATTATTCATTTTTTACCATCAACCCGTGGCCCGGGCTAAAACTATTGTGGGATCCCACTCGAGAAAGAGGAGATTTCTCGAGCGTGTAATAACCTCTATTGGCCAATAGTTGCACACAATATTTTATTCAACTACCGCAAGGAATTTAAAGCCAATTTTATTTCCTATGTTATCTGACGTCTGACAACTATCAAAAAGTTTAAACGTCACTTTTTTTTAACTTAAAGCTAACTTTAGCTATTTCGGTTAAAGTTAGAAAATGAATAGTCAGGAAAACCATTATTTCGCGCATTCTCAGCAGGGTTACAAAATTACATATCCTAGAAGATGTTGCATAAAGCTATTATTTCTACACGTATACAGAAAAGTCACTTTTCCACTTCAGAGAGCGCTTGTAGAAAAAATATTGTAAATAAGTAGGGTTGCCAGATTCTGTCAAAAAAAGTGTGATTTTTGCGTTTAGTGAGCCAAACTACACAAGAAAATCATGTTGAGACATGGTGGGCAAAATGGCTTTAAACTAGTGATTATTTATAAAGCAAACACGTTTATTTTACTAGTTTTAACGTAAATTTAAAACAACAAAACTTTCAATATTAGGTACTATTACAATAAAAATAAATGTTGCCAAGGAGTCCTTGGCAAGGACCAGGAAAAATTTAATATATGGTAACTTATGGGATTTTCCATCCACTCTTCATAAAAAAAATAAGAGAAGCACCTGAATCCTTTTAAATATTAAACTAACTGACTGTTGCCTTCATAATTGCACTTGTTCGTAGTACTGCAAATACAAAAAAAAAAACGGGACAAAAGAGATAACATGTTGGGGAAAGCTTTAATTTTAATATAAATTATTGCAGATATTTTTTATTGGCAAAATGGTTGATTCAGAAAGAAAAAGCTTTAAAAAAATACAGAAATACTATTGGCCGGTTAAATACAATGATAAACATAAACTTGCCAGATTTAAATTACAGAAAAGTTACTATACCTAGTAGGTACTTACCTTTTGACGTTTAGGAGATTATAATCTAACTTAAGTAATAACCATACTACAAAAATAACTTTATAATAGTACATTATAGACAAGGCGTAGTATTTGTATATAGAGTGTTATAAAATGAAAATTATTGTAATTGTATTGAATTGAGAATTATAGCCTGTATTATTACAAAAAATATATAAAATAAACTCAGACATCGATTTCATCAATATTTTTAATTAATGCCAAGCCAATTCACTAGAATTAGCAGAACAAGGAGTTTTTCGTAAATAATTAATAAAATGAATCACCGTTTTAGTCTTTATTGAGAAAAAAATTATTTAAAAAAATTAGAACTTAATTAAAGAAAATATGGGAAATCAAATCACACATTTCATTTATAAAGTTTTATAATATATAATGCAAGTTGCAGCACTGAGAGGAAGTATTTTATTCTTAAATTGTGGTCTTAGGTTTAGATTTTTTTTATTTTTGAAATTTGGCAAAAATCTCTTCTTTATCTGTTTAACAGCATCAAATAACTTGTGAACATTTGGATAGCTTTCTCATGATTCCTAATCTAAAGTGCACTCCTTAATAGTATTTTACACAACTTACCGTATGGAGTCACTAATTCTGCCATATTATCACACACAAGGAGTGGTCCGAATTAAAACAGAACTTACTAAGGTTCAGTCTCAACACTAGCCACAAGGTCACTACCATTCAATATTTGTTAAAGCACAAAACTAAACTAAATATAATTTCCTCAATTTCGGTATGTTATACCTTCATTAAAGATGAAAGGATAAAAAATCCAATCTTTGTAATTGGAAATTTCAAATATCTCTTATTTTGTTTATAATTCGTCAGGTAATAAATTAGGCAATAATAATATTTGTATTTATTTTGGGGAATAGGGAAAAGTCAGACAGCGCCATGTCTGGCGAATATGTAGGCTGGGGCATCATTACAGTATTGTTTTTGGCAAAAAATTGTGTTTAAAATTCAACAATTTTGGAACAAATTTTGCTGCCACGCGTTTCATACCCAAAACATTCGAAAAAATTTCATCGATATGTCAACATCATCAGCGACTTCTCTAATTGTGATTCGGTGATCGTTCATAACCATTTATTCCACTTTTTCCATATTTTTATCGGTTGTTAATGTGCGTCAACTTCAACGTCTTTACGGCCATCTTAGAAACTAATATATCACTTATAAACTCTTGTTTTACTCATAGCAGACTCACCATAGGCCTTCCTTAACATTTCACACACTTTATTTCATTTTTTACCCAAAATTTGATACAAATTATTTTATCCATTTCTTTTAACGAACGAAAATCGCCGAGATCATAAAAACACGTCTAACCTTAGCGGCTGCCACAGACAAAGTAAACAATGAAAACATTTAAATTTTTTATCATTTTTCAGGGGTATGTATACCAACATAATAAAGGCAATTTTATGACAACAGGACTCTCCAGACCCGCGAAATTTAAAATTTTTTGTTATTTTCTGAACACACCTCGTACATACATTTCGAAGTGGTAACTTCCCGAAGCGAAGCCTTTTTTGATAGTCCAATATTTTGGAACAAACATAAAATTAGCGAAATTTAGAAGTTTCAATATATATTAGGCTTACAAATTTTATTATAAATTTGAAGGGGTTCAGATCATGAATGTAAAATAAACCCATTTTGGACCCTTTGGGAGTTTATAGACACTTCCGCGCGCCCGTCAATTCGATGATCCTTTGTATATCTAGGGTGGTACTTACCTACCACTTTAAATTTGAAAATAAATCTAAAATTATGTAATTAATAATAACATAATATTAGATTTATTTTAGTAACGTTTTAATATGAATTGGATGATAAAAGAAAACAATGGATAATAAAAACTTAAAATTCTTTATTCTATATTTTCTAATATAAACATGAATAAACATACTCATCGAGCAAAATAAACATAACGATTGCTGTGTGCAATCAAAAAATAAAACCATTTACATATGACGTTCATTATAAACACTGGGGGGAATGAATGTAGAGTTTGACCCACACTGGAATGTTTTGAAAATTTACATAAAGCCCGTAGTCTAATTACAAAAATCGTTCGTTTTTTTACTCATCTATACATCTCTTACTCTACATAACACTTAAAAGCGCAAAATAAATTAACAGGTCCAGCTATAGTACACTTTATATCACAATATTCATAAAAAAAATTCGAAAATAAAACTCAGACATGGATAGTGTCTTCGTCGTCAGAAGGCGATCGCCGTCCTCCGGTACCTGGTGATCCGGGGTCCAACGGTGTATCCGGGCTTGGAGATCTAGGCGAAGGTCCTTCCGTCGACTGATTCGAATAGTAACTAGACAAAGTGCTTAACGAACTACTGGCAGCTAACGAGCCAAGATGGGCGCTTGGTCCCGGCATACCCATGCCCATGCCCGGAGGATACAGGCGATATGGAAGAGGCTTCTGAAGGGTGGCAGCTGCCGCAGCTGCAGCTTGTCTGTAGTAAATATCAGCTGCGCTTGGAGGCGCGGTTGGACCCGCTGTTTGTGGAGGGTACCAACAACCGTAAGCAGGAGCACCGTAAAGCCTTTGGAATGCGGCATAGTTACCGGCTTCTGCAAGAAGTTCCAAGCCCACTGCCGTTTGGCGTTTCCATTTCGTTCTGAAACAAAAAAAAATACTTTAGGTAATGTTTTACACTGTTCAAAATTTCATGACCATTTTAACAGCAAATTAACACCATATGTGGTCTATATCGATACAAACCAAAATGGTGTTAAATAGGGTTCGTTGGTCCGGTGTAAATTCAAATACTAAAATGGTGTTAACTTTCATACAGTTTTAAAATAAATTTTACCTGGTGTAAATTGAACTCGTTTTCAGTGTTAAATATTATGTGTTTATGGTCAAATTAAATCATACTACACAGAAAAAAAGGAAACAGGAAGTTCCTTGACGCATTACTAGTATATTAGCAGTGGTATTATTCCAGAAAATGGAACCTTCAACTCGCTAGAGATAATGTTTTTAGTTCGTTCCACTAACTTAAAATACTTCAAGTATTGACAGCTGTTTCCACCTATTTAAGGTTTTTTTTAGTATCGAACAACTTGTAGTGTCACACCAAAGCACCTTAGCTTATATATTCTTCATGTAAGTCAACAGAGGCGAGATTTAAGAACATCACGTGATCCACAAAAAAATAAATACTTATGTGTCAACTAAATTAATATAGTTAAATGAACTATTCTTTTTTTTCTGTGTAGGTGCACTTCTCAAATATTTTTAGATAAACACCGTTTTGGTGTTCATTTTCAACCATAATTCATGGTGTTATATTAACACCACTTGGTGTTGGATTTTGACACCATTTTAGGATTACTCTTTACACCACAGATATTTTAAACAGTGTAAGATAAACTACAACAAAATATATAAAAAGTTTGGTTTTATTGTGAAGCAATTTTTTAAGGATTCAACTGTTGTGTTGAATTCTCAGGGTTTTGCATAATTGTAAAATGACAAGGCATAAATGAAGGTAATTAGGATTTGCTTGGTGGCGTCTGTGGGCCCACTGGGTGGTAGTCGGACCTCAATTAGCAAAATTAGGAGGCCCTTTTGCGGTAACATTTAAAAACAAATAATTTGGCAGTTCCGAGACACTTTAAAAGAATGAAACGGCACTTTTAATAGCCTATACTTTTTTCGTAATATTGATTTAAGTAAATTAAAACCCACTTCCACAAATTACTATTCTAGTTTAAGATTAATAACAAAATGTGCCCAGTCATTATTTGTACTAGAATTATTTCGGAAAATTAGGTTTTGGCGTCAAAAATAAATACCGTCTGAAAAATTTCACAGTTGTTGTTACGGCTTTTAAGTTTTCGGGACAAAAACTATGAAGAAAAATCGATCTCGTCATAGTGATTTTACAGCATGATTGCTGTACCTACCTACGCAAAGATTGGTGTCTGTTGGGCAATTTTTTAAATAAACACGATTCATTTTATTTTTTTTATAAATCATATTTCAAATCTAATAATAAGTGGTATAATACCTCTGGTATTCTGATCTCAAAATTTATGGAAATGATTTCTAAAATATGTGGCCAACATTAAGATAAATGTTAATTTATTCATTTATTCAAAAGATATTTAATAATATTTATGTAAAATACTTTTTAATAACTACATTCTATGCTAAGTAATAATTTTGATTAAAATAAATACAAAAAATTAAAAGTTAGATTAAATATTATGTAAAATGTAATTTTGTTGAAAAAAGTCTAATGGGCTTTTAAGTACGTCGGTTACATTCAAACAAGTTCCAAATTACTAAATTATTATTGTCTATAAATATTTTAGTGTGAAAACTGACAGTCATATTGTAATAGAGTAGGCGTAACGTACCTTGCTACACAGTTCGGTAAAGTTAAAATCGGTTAAAATTAATCTCCAAAAAATAATATTTTTAAAAAGTTACCGACATAACGATTTATATTTAAATTTTCTACTTTATAAATTTATAAATCTTATAAAATGGGGTGAAACTGCGTTTCGTACAAATTTCAATATCAACTGGAATATAAAAGCCCTCTTATGCATTTTCACCGCGACAACTGAGTCCGTTTAAAGCCGGGCGGTTCATTTTTTCGCTCAAAAAAACTAAAAACACGTTAAAAGCGTTATAAAGTGGCCAACGGCAACTATAATTTAGGAAAAGGCCGCAATGCAGTACTGCAGAGTGAATAGCATACCGGTAATAACAGGAAATACACAAAGATATAAACATGAACTATTCTGGCCAATTTACAAACCTTTATGCTACATGAAACTGTATCCCATTCGCTTTAAATCCATTATTTAGGGAAACTTTATGACCGTTAGACCGGTAATTATTGTTTAAATTAGAAGTGTCAGTCGAACACGGCCGGACCTCCACGCTGAATTATTACACCTGCATGCAAATTTGAATCTTTAATTGGGCCGTACTTTGATTCCAATCTCTATAAACTACATAATCATATATAGTTTATGCAAAGCAACCCTATACGTAAAATAAGTAATAACATGAAGGACAATGCGTTACCGAAATGCACAATTTAAAATACCTATTGCTAATGTTAAAAAACATTTTGGATAGTTGGGAATGTGTTCTATGCATGTGTACCTACCAGGGTGGCCCCCAATTGCATGGAGAAAAAAACATTGTTGAATCTTGCCTCCATATAGGTGTTTGTAATATTTTACCAAATTTGAAACCCCTAGGTTGTCAATTACTGGTCGCCCAGAAGTTATGTATTTCATAAAGAATTTTAACCAAAAGTTGTCTTTTTGGATAATATCATTACGTGCCTAGTAGGGGTAAAAATTGTGAAAATTATGAAAAATAAGATAAATTTAAAGTATGTGATTTTGTTTACCTGAAAGTATTAGAATAAACAACCACAAGATAAGTTTTGTTGCAAAATTAATTTATTTTCATTACGTAATTCTGTCAGGATAAAAACTAAATCTTGTGTTAGGTACAAAGAGAAAAGTATATTTAATATGTGGTCTATCTACATTGATGTTTATTTGAATTCGTATCGTTAAAACGTTAAAACTTGTTGCTGGTCAAAATGGTACATTAAGGCTTTTGACCACCAGGGAAGAAGAAGAAGACTATTTGGCAACTTGCCAGAGTACCTACGCAGAAAATTGATTTATGTGTGAGAATTATTGGAAATATTAAAAATATGAACGATATTTAGATCTTCAAAGCGACAATACAATTCATTATAATTAGAACCAATAAAATGCCAGTATTCCATAGTTTGAATAAATAAGGTTCATTAAAGTCTTTTTATATTTTAAAGCACATTTTAATTTTAAATGCAAACTGACAATTCGTTAAATCCTAAAATTCATTATATTTTCTCACTAAATAAAACTCGTGGTATGATTAATTATCGATGATATTTACTCATTGAAACCGAAGCAGCACATTTCACTCGTCCTGCAGACTCGTGAAATCTGCAGCTCGGTTTCAATTCGAAAATATCATCGATGATAATCATACCACTTGTTATATTATGCGTGAAAATAACACTGTGCATGAGAGTAACATGTGTTCAGAAGTGATCTCAAATATTTATTTGATTGATATTTGAGACGCTCTGATCAAACTAAAGAAGGTTGAAGACAAAGTTTTTTAAAAGCAAAGAGAAAAGGGTTGTGTATAAGTAGTGGCGACCTTAATACTACTGCAAAGAAGAATAAAAAGAGACAGCGGGAGAAAAACAAAAGAAAGTTTAAAAATGAATATGCAGAAAGGAAGAGTAAAGATAGGCCTGGGACAATTTTACAACCATATACGTCTTCTTTTGAAAACTCTAAGATATATCTATAGTTTATGTCAAATAATGAAACAATATTCAGCTCTTAGAAATTCTGATAAGTTATTCAAACAAGAAGATAGCCCAAAATTGCTTGATTAAAGTAGGAAAAATTTACCAAAATGTACAAAAATTGTGTGCTATTATTTAAATTTCATAGAATAAAAAAAACTTTTAAACACAATTTTTGGACCACTGTAGTACCTACCCGTTGCATAAAGTAATTGGAAAGGAAAAACAAGCTTTTAATGTGGATATAATATATGAGATGCCCGTAAAATTACATCTATTAAAGAACATTAATGTATTGTTGTTATTCCAGGGGGTCTTACGTATTTATCACAGTACAGTAAATCCGACCTATTATTGTCATACAGTAAAAGATTTTTTTTTAATTTTCATTTGTCAACCGCATTAGATTTATTATGAGAATACATTGTACTCCAGATTTGTCACTAATTGTAATGGGTTAAATATTTAAATGCCAAAGGTCCCATATAAAAGGATTTAAGATAATATTATATTAATAAAACGTTTAATTTTGTAAGAAATAAATTGTGCAGACAAAACCAAAAAAATCAAAAGTCTTCGGCGAATATTTACTTTGTAGTCTGACAAGAAATGGCGTAACTAATATGACCAACAACTTTTAAGCAGCCATGAGAATTCTTCTTTTGTTAAACAAAGTGCCAGTCAGAGCCAGGCATCGTACGTCTGGTCATAAGAAATCTATTTATTTAAAATATCAGTTATTCAAATTAAATGACACATCATTTTTCAACATCAACATTAATTTCAGTAGTATCCATAAAAACTATTCAAGATGATCTCAATGTAAATAGATTTAATGGGCTATTGGAAGATTCGATACACTTTTTTTAACCATTTCAATCTCATTCACGTTAAATGTTAATTTTAAGGAAAATCGTTTAAACTTTATGATTTTCTGGTCCTTTGATCATCTTTAAATACGATTTTTTTTAAATTTAAGGTTTAAAACTGATTTTTTAAGGCCACGTTAATAAAAAGTTCATTTAACATAGATTTTTGTTTAAAATAGGATCTATATATAGCTGTATAAATACAAAACTCAATTTTTGAAAAATTAAAAATATAGATATATTAATTATAGACGTTATATAATTATTATAGACGTTTAAACGTCTATGGATAACAATTTCTAAAAGGAATCCATTGAACCTATTAGTTTGTAGCATAAGTTATGCTATAGTAAGTTATAGTAAAACTGAAATAAAATATACTTTCTGGTGCAAAACTCACTC